AAGGCAGTCGCTTAACCAACTGAGCCACCCAGGTGCCCCCGGACGCAAATGAATTTAAACAAGCTAACTGCAAGCTCTAGGTTCCCGGGACCTCGGCAAAGGGAGACTCTCCAGAGACAAATGAATTTGGAAGATTTAGACAACTCGTGTTCAAGACAGATTTTTAATTTTAGCACTGATTTAATAAGTTCAAAGTATTTTGACTTAAAAAAGCTTCAGCATGAAGCTGTGAGGTAGAACTGAAACTTGCTATATTTATTTTGAGATGAGAAAATAAAGCAGGAAGAAACTGAAATACCGGACTCGAGTTAAAAAGCACTCCTGGGAAAATCCATGGAGACAGAAAGCGGATTAGTGGGTGCCAGGGCGGGGGCTCAGGCAATGGGACGTGACTGCTAATAGGATTTTTTAGGAATGATGAAATGATGAACATGCTCTGGAATTAGGGGTGATGGTAGCACAGTTCCGTGACTATACTATGAACCACCAAATTGTACACTTTAGAAGGGTAAATTTTATGGTAAATGAATTTTATCTCAATACTTCTAAAAAAGCACTCCCGGAAAAGGAATCAAGATCTCCTTCTGAAACTAGAATCACTTGGCTGTCCACACTGTTCTCAACTGTTCTCAACAAAGGATTATGATCTGAATTGATACAGGTAACCAATTAATCAAAGAATCCTTTCTCTCTCGATTTCTCGCGCTGCCAACCAGAGAAGGCAGCTGGAGTAGAGCGAAAAAAGGCACACACGTGGGAAATCTGGAGACAGATTCAAATAGTATCTCTTCTACCAAATAGCTGCTAACTTCAGACAAGTCATTACATCTCTTAGTGTCAGTTTCCTCTTGTAAAGTAGGGAGAAAAGCATGTATTGCAGAGTTGTTTTAAATGCCAAAGGAAGGGCGCCTGGGTGGCTCAGTCGTTAAGCGTCTGCCTTCGGCTCAGGTCGTGGTCCCAGGGTCCTGGGATCGAGCCCCTCATCGGGCTCCCTGCTCCGCGGGAGGCCTGCTTCTCCCTCTCCTGCTCCCCCGCTTGTGTTCCCTCTCTCACTCTCTGTCAAATAAATAAATAAAATCTTAAAAAAAATAAAAAATAAAAATAAAACAAACGCCAAAGGAGGGGCACCTGGATGGCTCAATTGGTTTAAGTATCTGATTCTTGATTTCAGCTCAGGTCATGAGCTCCGGGTTGTGAGATGGGAGCCCTGCGTTGGGTTACATGCTGGGCATGGAGCCTGTTTGGGATTCTCTCTGTCCCTCTGCCCCCCTCCTCCCAAAAAGGCCAAAGGAGATAATTATGCACATATCCATACCTACTGTTAGTTGAATCTGGGCAAAAAAGAAATCAAGCTTCAAAACTCCTTCACAGACTCAATTCTCTGAAGGAAAGCATTTCAATACCTCCCCAAAAGGAAGAGAGTAAACCTTTCCATGTGTTAAATGAACAAAGAGGTTTGGTGACCTTCTAACTATGAATCTAAGTCATTAAGGAAATGACCAGCTTTAAAGGGAGACAGTACAGCAGAGTCCAAAGAACCTGGTATGTGTGTGGGGAGGGGGGGGCGGTGGTCAGGAGGTTTGGCTTCTAAATTCAGCTCTGCCACTAACCACACCAGTAACCTCTGCCAAATCACTAAGCCTTCCTGGCTCTAAGTAACTTCACACATGGTAAAATGAGGTGTTGGAGCAGCTAAGAGGATTTCAAGACACATGAGCATCAGTTTATTCCTTGGTTCATCTTATGAGAAAATACTATGGTGAGACTATAATTTGCATTTGTAAAACATCTATTTCTCTAGAAAACCTAGAAAATAAAAAAGCAAGCAGACAGATTCACTTGTTGGTGCAGCAAAGCTCTTTGCTAGCCGAGATCAGAGCTGAAAGAGTCCCCTCGCCCACCGACTGCCATCTGCAAGCAGGGGAACGAGGCCGTAAACTAGCGAGCACCTCCACGTTGACGTTCCGGATCTGCACGTTGATCAGCGAGAACTCTTGCTGCAGAGTCTGAGGCAGCCCTGGCTGCTCCGATTTATTCTCTTCCAGGATACTGCTCGGGGGGTCTTCCTTTAAGACTAGCAGGAGAGAGAGGTTCTTCAGTTGTTGGAAAACCCTTTTGAAAATGGGTCCGAGAGCCGTTCTAGGGTATCTGCCGTAACTCTGAGATGCACAGAGGGGCACTTCCCCTGAAACACCCGTTTGACCGATTACCTTCTTCCTCCCCGTGGCTCAAGTTGTGCTGGTGATCTGTATCTTGAGTGTGAAGGGTCTTCTCTGGTTCCGGCAGAAGAGAAATGCTCTCAATGAACTCATCGACACCATCTAATATGTCGTTTGCACAAAGCTGCAACAAAGGGTAGAAGATCTAGGTCTACAGATGTCAGTGGAAATGATCATCATGTCTGGTTAGGGTTCTGACTTAAAAATGGGAATCACAAAGGCTAAAGATGTCGGCCAAAAACCGATACAATCAGAATAGGTTTTACCCTCCACCAAATCTCCCTGATTAAATACACAGGAGAACAGACTTTTGGCTACCCTGGAAATTTTTCATCCTGTTCATAGTTTGTGCAAGCCTCAGAAAACATTAAATTCCAAGCCTTTATGGAGTTGCTCAGCTAACCCAAGACCAAAAATGAACAAATGGTACTTTCTGGAAAAAATATATTTGAAAGGCAGTAAGGTGATGATACTTAACCAAAATGCTAAGCGTGACTTCGTACTGAGCAGTGTTGCAAAATTTTTTTTAAGACTGATTGATTGATTGATTGATTTTTAAGTTATCTCTATACCCAACGTGGGGCTCATGAATCTCAGGATCATGGGACTGAGGCCCACACTGGGCTCGCTACTCAGCCATGAGTTTGCTTGTCCCTCTCCTTCGCCCTCTGCTCTTCCCCACCCCACCGATCTCTCTAATTAATTAATTAATTAATTTAAAAAATCTTAAAAAGAGAGAGAGTTGCATGCTCTCGTTCCCAGGTTTTGGCACAAAAAAAAAAAAAAAAGGAGCTGCATGCTCTACCAACTGAGCCACCCAGGCACCCTGCAGGGTTGAAAATTTTACACAGCATTTTCTATCTACCCTCTACAGAGCACAGGCCACAGCAGTTCATACCAGGTACCAACCACTGTGGTTCACATAAGAAACAGGTATCATTATGGGGCAAAAATTGAAAAGAGCTTCATAGGACAGGTGCCGCTGATGGATGTAAAGGGCTCTGAACACTGCAGACCCTAAGGTTAGACGTCCTAGTTCATTTAGAAGAAGAGAAGAAATGAAGCCCACAGGCCATTTGCTCAGTCGGCTACCCACACTCTCATACTGGGACATGAGAAAAGGCAGTCAGAGGCTTTTCACGCTTAAAAGTACCCAACACGGGAATTGGCTCTTGAAGATCTCAAAGCCTCCGTGTGTCCTACACAAGCCACTCGGCCAACCAGCAAGTATTAGTAAATGTCTCTCACATATCCTCTAACTCCCACAAGTACTAAACTTTGTATTTTTTTTAAGTTTCTAGCGTACCCAGTTACACTCCTCCACAACAGCACTGAATACATACCCTCTGCATCTGGGAATCCACTCGCCACATTCTCAAGGTCTGATCCCGTGACCACGTAACCAGTTGGTAGTCCTTGGACCCTAGAAATCACCAAATAATAATCCTGGAATTTTTTTTTTTTAAGATTTTATTTATTTGACAGAGAGAGACACAGCGAGAGAGGGAACACAAGCAGGGGGAGTTGGAGAGGGAGAAGCAGGCTCCCCACTGAGCAGGGAGCCCGACACGGGGCTTGATCCCAGGACTCTGGGATCATGACCTGAGCCGAAGGCAGACGCTTAACGACTGAGCCACCCAGGCGCCCCTGGAATTTTTTTTTTTTTTTTTTAATTCAACATCAGTTTTGCTACAGGTTGCAATGGGGTGAGATTCCTTCATCCATCCATTCAACAAATACTTGTTGACCATCTCCTAGACATCAGGCACTGCTCTAGGTACTAGGACAAACATGAATACTACAGTCTCTGTCTTTATAGATCTCACAATCCAGTGGTGGCAACAGACAAATAGATAAATACATAATAAAATGTCTGGTAGTGACAGTGTTATTAAACAAACAAAAAAAACAACACCACCACCTAGGATTAGAGAACTGATGGTGGAGCTGTCTTTAGACAGGCCTCCCTGAGGAAGTCAGATTTGAGCAGAAACTTAAATGAAATGAAATAATATCTGGCAGCTCAGCTGGTGAAGAGGGATGCTGGGATTTAACGTCACATTGAACTTTCGCCTGCACAAATGTTCCTCCTTTTATATGCTCCAGAGGAGCTGAGCATGAATATGATTTTTGTGAAACGAATTGCTTTAAATGCATAACGGCACCTTGCCATTTAAAAGAATTTTTTGGTAAAGAGATGCATCTCTTTATAAAATGGATAATCAATCGGGGCGCCTGGGTGGCTCAGTCGTTAAGCGTCTGCCTTCGGCTCAGGTCATGATCCCAGGGTCCTGGGATCGAGCCCCGCATCGGGCTCCCTGCTCGGCGGGGGGTCTGCTTCTCCCTCTCCCACTCCCCCTGCTTGTGTTCCTGCTCTTGCTATCTCTCTTTCTGTCGAATAAATAAATAAAAGCTTTTAAAAAAAAAGGATAATCAATCTTGATTGAGTGTTCTTAATTGACTGAGTTATATTTCCATATATCAGGTCTGGTCAGAGGGAAACTATTCTAAAATCATTGAGGGAGCTTTATGAAAGGATCAGGGCATTTCTGAGTAATTAGGTCATATCAAGAATCTCCTTTATGGCCATCCTTAGAGAGCAAAGAATTTAAAAGAGTTTAGAATGGAATTTCATCCAATTCCTTCATTTTACAGATGGGAAAATGGAGGCAGCAGAGCACATGATGTGTCCAAGCTAAAAGGGTGGGTGAGGGGCAGAAGTTCCTTCTTTGTGTCCCTGCCCCCAGTTGGGCCTTCGCTCCTCAGGGTGCTGCTGTATCCTTGCGCATGCCCGGCAGGACACAAGTCTTCTGAACGGCTGCCTGCCAGCAGTCCCCTGGACCCTGTACAGACTCATGTTCACATCAGCAATCGTCTGCATTCACATCTGGCTTCTTTTCACGACCCTGACTGTGGAGAAAAGTTACCCCTAATTCCATTCAAATCCCAACCCCTCCACCAGTGCCTTCACCCCCATTCCAAGGGCCCTTGCTTTCCCACATACTGCCTCTCTTGCACCCTCTTCTTGCCCTCGGACAGAGAGGGCAGCAGCTCTAAGATCTACTTAGTCTGCTCCTTGCCTGTGAAGGCGACTTCATCCACAAAACCAGTTCCTGCTGCCTCTGTTCATGTTGCCTTACGATCCGGCTTCTATCCGCAATCTGCTTCTGGAACTCGTCTCTTAATGATCACATAGCTTCCTATTTGTACCACTAAGTGCTTTCCTCTTACTCTGCACCTTGATCCTTCAGCAACATCTGAAACCAGTGACTGGAGCTTCCTTCATGAAGCATCCCCTTCCCTTGGCCACGACATCCCAATTCTCTTGCTAGCACTCTAAGAGCTCCGGCACCACAGTGAGAACCCAAGTCAAAGCTTGAGGTGATCCAGTAAAAACTGACTAAGAAGCCATGGAAGTAAAATAAAATGGAGCAGCAGTGGTTGAAAAAGAAGTAAAATACAAGAATACGTGCAGGAGGATTACATTTACAAAAGGTCCAACAAGCGAGCTGAAACTATTTCGAGCGATGCATAAACGGTGGCAAAACTATAAAAGTAACAACAGAAATCACTCTCATAATTATTAGGACAGCGTTTCCTTCTAGGGAAGGAAAAGGACTGTGATCTGGGGCTCAAGCAATGTTCCCTTTCTAGCCCGTGGTGGTAGTTACATAGATTTTCACTTCAAAATTTGTAAGATTGTACAGGTTTTATGCAATTTTCTAGAGAGATGATACACTTTACAATAAAAAGAATTTGAAGAAACACCTGTAACTTGCACTCAAAATCTCACTACTGACTAGATGGCCCCCATGTACACCATTCAGCCTGCCAGCTCACAGATGACACAGATAACTGAAAACGGGTTGCCAAAAACTTTGTTTCAAGCCAGAACTACAGGCCAACCTCTCCCTGCTAGACTATGAGGAAACAACTTCATCTGTTTACTATGGCAAAATGCAAGAAAGGAAGTTGAAAGTCAAAGTCATGCATGCAAATTGATGGGATAAAGACCAAGCAGCCTCACGTTCCTAGAAGCAGGGATATTCGGGAAATAAAGATGAGAAAATTAAGAGGATGATCAAAAGAGTCCCTTCAAAAACTATCCTGGAAGAAAGGCTTGCGAAGGTCATAAATAAGCCGGAATAAGATGAGTGCTATAATCCCAGGTCTACCCGAGACCTTTCCTGGGACCCTGGACAGGTCACACCACTCCACTGCCTGGCTTTCCTTCCATAATATGGAAAGACCAAGAAATATACTTCTGTTCTGTAAAAGCTTTAGAGATCGTGACAATAAGATCTCAGGAAAAGAGAGGCTGCAACTAAGTTTGCATGGTGAGCTGGTGGAGCAGCCGAGGCCGAGGGCTTCTGACTCCATTACACTTGACCCTGCATTAGTGAGGGCTGGCTAGCTGAAGCTGCAACAACAAACAATCCCCAAATCTCAGAGGATTAAGCAAGGACATCTTGCTCACGGGCACAGCTCCAGCTGGAGTTTTGCCAGTTGTGGTGGCAGAAGCAAAGAGAGCGTGTAATTGTACAATGGCCACTAATGCTTCAACCCAGAAGAGATCGTATCACTCTGTTCATGTCTCATGACCAAAGCAAGACATGCGGTCAAACCCATCTTCAAGGAAGTGGGAGATAAAAGACCACTGTGCATTGTGAAGGGAACTAGGCATACGTGGTGGGGGGCGGTGCTAATGATGACCTCAGGTCTCCTTCCTCCCCAGAGTGGCAAGGAGCAAACGCCAGGCTTCTGAGGACTGTGACCCCAGAGTTTTTCAGCCCTAGAGATGATCCAACAGCAAGTCTCCATCTCTTACAGATCTCTTCCATGCAGGTGAGAGATGATACTGAACCTGAGAAGAGGCGGGAGCTTGGGAGACAAGCCACAGACACACACCCCTTTACCCGTCTACAGTGGGTAGGTGGCGGTCTCCCTGACTCTCCCATTCCTCAAGCCCAGAGCTGAGGGGTCTGCATCCTCTGCACTGGACCACATGGCCAACCTTACTGGAGCGTCTGTGGAACATGGCTCAGAAGGAAATCAGGCTCCCACTCACTCACCCTCCTTCTGTTTCCTCCACTGGAACTCCAGCACCACATCATCGTGGCCCACAAACGTGTGGACTGGGGTGTTCAAGTCAAAGACGTTCCACAAGAGGAGACTATTTTCCCTCCGCAGCTGGGGGACCATCACAGTCACCAGTCCATTGCTGAAAGGCTACGGCAGGAAAGGGAAAAGCAGGTGGTTATTCCAGGGAGAGTCAGCTGAATCTTGAATTACCAAAGTTGGAATGCTTTCCTAACTAACATAAATGAGATGATGGAAGGCCCCAACCCATCTGGGGAAATGTTTTCCAAATACCATAAGTTAACCATCACATCTACTTTTCTTTTGCATTTATTCCCTTTTTCTGTGCATGGAAGGGACCAAAGCGAGTAAAAAATAAAGCTAAGCCAAATACTTGGAGAACTTTAAATTCTAAAATAAGCAAATGGCTCTGAACAGAACACACTGTTTCACATCCAGAACGAGTATGCAAGACACACTGGGGAAAACCCCAGAGCAGCGAGCAGAGTTCTTGCCATGTGGAAATGCACCAGAAGCACAGCATCTACATGAAGCATCACCTTCCCACGGCCCCCAAAACTACAGCTATTCAGAGGGAAACCCTCCAGTTTCAGGACTGACACGTTTTACTTATCGACACCTAATCTGCTAGGTAGCTAAGGGGGCCCATTTGGTAGATAATCAGACTCTGTTCTGGAAGGAATAAACCACAGTCACCTAAAAGCACATTTATCTTCACTTTCCCTCCTGGCAGCACTCCTGGACTTCGCTGTTTATTTTTTAAAGTAAACATATTAATCCAGAGAAGAATTCTAATTCATAAGAACAATGTCTGATTTCTTGACAAGCGCTCCCAGATGCAAAAGGCATTTAATACCTAAATTATCTTCTATGTTCCACAGCGCCTCAGGGTGACAGCCTAATGCATAAAGGCAGCTTTATTCATCCCTGTACTCCCTTTCAAGCTGACACTGAAGAAAGTATATTATCTCTGATCAGAAGCTATCAATGTGACAATGGGAAAATTGCTGAAAGACTAATAGCCTATCCCCTCTATCTGTAGCATTTTATGGTTTCTAAAGCACTTTCACATACCATTTTTCAAAAGGAAAGACATATTGTGCGTGTGCTAAATGCCACCGAACAGCATACTTTAAAACGGTAAATTTTATCACAATAATAAAAAGGAAGGCCTGGTAAAAATTATATTCATATGCTACAGAGGAGGAAAGTATTGTTCAAGAGCATCCAGCAGCTTGCCCAAGGCCACACAAATATTAAATGGCTCACTGCAAATATGGAAACAATCAAGTGCCCATCAATGGATGAACAGATAAAGAATATGTATCTTACACCACACACACACACCACACACACACACACACACAATGGATTATTCAGCCACAAGAAAGAAGGAAATTCCATCATGTGCCACAACATGGGTGGGGTTGAAGGCATTATGCTAAGTGAAATAAGTGTACATCTTGAACTTATACAATGTTACACGTCAATTACTTCTCAGTGAATCTTGGGAAAAAATTCAAAGGCACGGACGGACCCAAAACCCAGGTCTTCTGAATCTAAAGCCAGATTTCTTTCCACCACGATCTACTGACCGCAAGCCCCACAACCCTCTGGCGCCACCTCTCCCCCTTCCCCTGCCATTAGTGACCACCTGCATGCGCCCCGGCCTCCCAGTCTATGGTCAGCAACTCTCCCGCAGATTCTTCCCCAACATTCCAAGAGCAAGTTTTTAAATACATACCAGCATTTATGCCGTCATGACCGCCTTTGCCCCACCCCTCAGCCAAGACAGAAAGAGAAAACTGCCTCACAAAGAAAATAAGAGAAGAGGGCCCTTGGCCCCCATGTCTGGAACACTAAGGTGAAGCTCCCCAGCAGGAGGTGGGGTATCCCACTCACAGTGTATCTGGCCTTCCAGACAGGCACCTGGCAAGGGAGAATACTGAGGTATTTCCGAGGCTGGCGGTAATCCCAGAACTGGAAGAAAGAAAACAGGATAATATGTGAAATAAATGCCATTAAAAAACTCTGCAATTGAAATAAGCGCAGCCTGCGGTACCTTCACTCTCTGTCCTCAGTGTGTTCCCGGCAGCCCTCCTAGCCAGGGGAGAGGGGCAGACACACAAAACCTTTCCCATATATCAACATTATAGGAGAATTTCCCAACCTCACCAGGACCAGCCCTCAGGGCAGATCAGGGTCAGCCCATTAAACGGGCCTGCAGGTGAAAGGTCAGAGTGACAAGCTTTCACCCTGTGTCACTTACATCACGCAGGGCAAAGTAACGACTAAAGACAGCCGATGTGCTGACTTCTTACTGCATTCCAGACAGAGTTGAGAGCTTTAGGTTTTTTTATCCCATTTAATCTTTGCGACAACCAAATAATGGGTGTCATTCAGTTCTTTCTCAAAAGTAGAAGCTAAATTACTAAACAATCTAACTTGCCCAAGGTCACACAGGAAAGAGGTGGCTGTTTGGCCACCAATGCACTCACGTACACACTCACCCGCTCCGCCACTGACCGTGCGGAACGTGAGGCTCCAGAATGCAGAGTGAGCCCAACACACTCTGCCTTAGAGACGCCTGTGCTTTCAAGGAAGAGACACGACTATACTTAGAGCCTGAGCATTTGTCATGAAGCAGAAAATGGTAGAACACCAAAGGCAGGAGGCCCAAGACTGAAACTCTGAACTATTCCAGTATTAAGAAATTATTTTCAAAAATAGATGACAGTTTGGCAGTTTCTTAAGAAGTTAAACATGCATATACCATTGACCCAGTGATCCCAACTCCTATTTGTCCTGGAAAACTGGAAAGTTCCATTCACAGGAAAATCTATACGTGAATGTTTATAGCAGCTCTATTCACAATCATCAAAAAGTGCTGACAGCCCAATCAATGTTCTTCAACAGGTCAACAGATAATAAACTGTAGCATATTCATACAGTGGATTACTATTCGCCAACTAAAAATATATCATCTATCGATTCTTAAAACACCTTGGATGAATCTTGAAGGTGCTATCCTGAGTGAAAGAAGCCAACTCAGAAAGTTACATCCTGAATCCTGAATCATTCCATTTAAATGACCTTCTTGGGGCGCCTGGGTGGCTCAGACGGTTAAGCGTCTGCCTTCGGCTCAGGTCATGATCCCGGGGTCCTGGGACTGAGCCCCACATTGGGCTCCTTGCTTGGCGGGGAGCCTGCTTCTCCCTCTCCCTCTGCCTCTGCCTGCCATTCCCCCTGCTTGTACTCTCTAATAAAAAAAATTTTTAAATCTCAAAAAAAAAAATTAATGACCTCAAACTACAGTGATGGAGAACATATTAGTGGCTGCTAAAAGTTAGGGGTTGGAGGAGGGTGTGACTATAAAGGGATCACATGAGGTAATTCTTGTTTCTTCTGACAACTCTCTTTTTGCCAAATTCAGACTCTATATTCAAAATAATAAAATTGTTAAGATGTGTTTTCTTTTTTTTTTAAGATTTTATTTATTTGACAGACAGAGAGACAGCGAGAGAGGGAACACAAGCAGAAGGAGTGGGAGAGGGAGAAGCAGGCTCCCCACTGAGCAAGGAGCCTGATGCGGGGCTCGATCCCAGGATCCTGGGATCATGACCTGAGCCGAAGGCAGATGCCTAACGACTGAGCCACCCAGGCGCCCCTAAGATGTGTTTTCCATCTAAACTTCTTCTGGGTTTCCCTCGATGGCTACAGGGAAAACTATAACTTGCTCCCTCAACTTACAAAAGAAGGGAAACTAGAAATCACGAGGTCGGCTTGGCACTCTCCAGACTCTTAATTAGATCAACACTTTGTGAATGTCTTCCTATTATCAAGTCTACCAATGTGAAAAACTAGCAAATAAAAAGTTCAACCTCCCTAAGTTAATTACATACAGGTAAACTATTAGTACTATGAATATATTCCAGCAATTGGGTCCTTTTCATGCTTATTTACAGACTGTCACGATAACTGTTAACAAAATCGATCCTTTAAAAAGATTTGTTTCCAGATTTAAATATGCTCGATTGGTGAGCATTATACCATATAATTATAACATATAATTATGGGACAAATTAGAGGACCCTGGGGATTTGAGCAAGGCCTCACTCACTTCATAACATGGTCTTATGCTCAAGGCAACAACTGCCAGTCTTATGAAATGATTATATGCTGCATGTGAATGACTTCAGTCTGTTTCAACCTGACACACTGGTCACCGTAAGAACCAGAATAGCCATGCCGTCCTCTCGTCCATAGGTAATTTCTGCTTTTCTCTTCCCTGCCAAAAGGCCTTTGCTACAAGCTACAGACCAGAAAGGAAGGCTTCTGAAGAAATACCAGAGGAGCCTCAGGCAAGAAAGAACCAGGTTCTTGAACAGCCTCGTGGGTACAGGACTCGGGAAGGCTGACCTTGACCCACGGGCAGACACAGATGTCGGGATGGACCAAGGAACTGTGTCTGGATTTCCAGGACTCTTCGTCTAGAAGAAGGCAGTGTTGTAAAATTGACTGCTTAACCCAAGATCAGGGGGAAAAAAAAATCATTAAACTGGTATGAATTCATCTCATTGTGGTTAATGGTCTATTTTTAATAGCCATATAAGAAAAATCCTTTTCTTTCTTCTCGATCTAGCTCTAACCCTCAATTCAACAGTTTCACAGTTTAATAATTTATAAACTCAGGTGAAACATTCATTCAATGGTATCTTGTTCCAGCGTACCCCTTCAATTCAGAAAATAAAAATATAACAAAAATGTATTACTACAAATTATAAGCTAACCTATCATCAGGTAAACTTAAGAAAATGATTATGCAGGAAAAAATGACATACTTGATCCTGATCTACAAATAACTAAAAATGATGGGTGAATATTATGCAAAGTGCCTCTAAAACTGCTTCACTTTTTACAATTATGCTATTTATATACATTCAATAAAAACTGTCTTCCTTCCACCAGGATACAGTGAAATAAATTAAATAACCATGTCAAAAGTCTCGGGGCGCCTGGGTGGCTCAGTCGTTAAGCGTCTGCCTTCGGCTCAGGTCATGATCCCAGGGTCCTAGGATCAAGCCCTACATCGGGCTCCCTGCTCAGCAGGAAGCCTGCTTCTCTCTCTCCCACTCCTCCTGCTTGTGCTCCCTCTCTCGCTGTTTCTATCAAATAAATCAAAAAAATCTTCTAAAAAAAAATTTTTTTTAAAGTCTCATTTAATTCATAAGCTCAGCCTACAAGTAAGGAACAAGGACTGAGTCTCACATGTGGAAACTGGTCTATTGCTTGAATACCCATGGAATCCAGCCTCACAGGTGGTAAAGATGTCACTGAACAGTGACAAACTTGAGGAAAGAGGAGGAGGGGAATTGGATGGTTTCTGGGTTCTGAACTTGGATGACAAGGTGACAAAAACCCAAACCCAAAACAGACCAAAAAAACCCACTCTGGCACATAAAAGTAAATGACAACCCTAAGGGATTTACAAAGCTCAAGACAGAAGTTAACTTTTCAGGCCTTAGTGTTATGATTCTAGTTTTGCTCACCATACCAAAAAATGACATTGTCCATGTGCCCGTGTAAACAAAGCATTACGTTAATGATGCTGAATCACAAAATTGCTAAGCAAACTTCTGTGGTCAAATCTCTGTCCTTTCAGACAGGGACCCGACCACAAGGAGGGCCTGTGGAATGAGGCTGGCCCTGTGCCCTGCATCCTTCTAAAGGCACCACATCCCAGAATCAGGACAGGAAAAACAAACAACAAGAAATGCTGTGCTCTGAGATAAACCAAAAATAATAGGGTCACGGAAACAACAGAAACCCTGGAGCATTTCCTGTAAGTTAGAGAGAATCTCTAGTAAAACAACTCTATCCCTGACTTTAGCAATGCTGAATGACGATGTCCTAACTTTTGCAGATATGATAATGATGTGAGAAAATTGCTAGTTTTCCACCCCAGGGAGACTAATCATAAACTTGGTAACCTTAACAATTTTGTGGGCTTTTTTCCTTTACTGATATATCTGGTTTGGTTTGGCGTTGTTTTTTTTCCTGAAATCTCACTTCCTGGCAACTTCTTGGCAAATAAACTTCTCCTTTCTAAATGGTTTAGTCTCTGACTTCCCTTCACGAAGGGAAAGAAGAAAACACTCTGAGCAAATCCCAGGAGCCCCATCAGAGATATGCTACTCCATCGTTCCTACTGGCCCACGCAACCCCGCTTACTTGCCCAGCACCCCTACCACACACACACACTGTGCTTAGTGCAGCTTTCCTTCCCAGCAAAGTGCTGCTACAAAATCTGATGCCTCCCACACACAGCTCCCCCAACTGTCCCCGGGGGTCACTCACCTTGACAGAGTTGTCCTGACTGGAGGTAGCAAGAACGTGCTCAATGTCTGGGTGCCAGTCCAGGCCGTGGATTTTGGAGAGGTGGGCTGCGAGATACTCCACTGCCGTGCTGGGTTTCTACAACAGGATGGGCACTGAGTGTTGTTAAGTTAGAAAGAACTCCCTGAGTGTCTACCATGGAACAGTCTGCTGGGGACTGGATGGGGACACAAACACACTACCAGACCCTGTCTCTATCCTTAAGAAACTCCACTTTGTTTTGTTTAAAAAAACAAAACAGAGAAAGACTTCGCCAACCCTCCTTCACGCATGCTCTGTATTCGGGCCTGTGAACCTGATTTCGTCCCGCTCCAGCCCCAGGCATGGCTTTAATGAAGGATACAGGGTAGTGGGTGCTCCTTTCCTGAGCAGTGCGGTCTGCAATCCCTGCTCCCCTTCCTCCCTATCACCCAAGAAGAGGGGCTGTGACGTTCGAACAGACCTCACCTCGAGACTGGATGTAAAACCACCAATCTTAAAGTAATCGAGCACCAAGACCCCCAAAGAGGATGAACACACATCACAGATCACAGAAGATAACTAGACATGACTAATAAGCTTATATAAAACAAGCAAACTCGGGAGGAAACCGCAGAAATATACATTAAAGTCAGATTTTACTAAGCTATCAAATTAGAAGATACTTGTAAATAATACTCAATGCTGGCAAGGCTACATTTGTCACTGCTGGTGTTTATACAAAATAGTACAACCTTTTGGCAAAAAACTTAGACAATTTTTATCAAGCAACTTAAAATTTTCCCTTCTTAAGAGAATACTGAAATTTCACAAAAAGCTTTAGATAACAAAAGAGGTTCATCTTGATGTTATTTGGAACACCAGAAAACTAGAAACAACAGTAAATGGGGAATAATTAAATTTTAGAGTCAATTATAGTGCGGCTATCTGACATAATATGATATAGCCACTAAATGTTGGACTTAGGGATTATAGCACAGGGAAAATGCTATTAAATGGAAAAAGTATGCAAGACCATGTATGTGATAGGATAAACCATGTTTTTTAAAAAGCACAAGAAAAGAAAACACCAAAATGTTAGCATTTGTCTCTGGGTAATGGGCCTATAAATGTTTTTTATTTTCCCTTCTACATTTTCTACAAAGAGCATCTATTACTTCTATAATCAGCGTTGGTCTATGAGGTTAAGATCAGTCTTCAGAACCAGCCTCCCTGAGTTCAAATCCCAACAACAAACAAAGCCTCAGTTTACTCATCTGTAGAATGGGGATAAAGATAGCACTTACTTTAAAGACTAGTTATAAAGAGAGTTCTTAGAACAATGTCTGTGCATAATAAACATGTAGTAAATGTTACTACGATTTGTCACTGGGGTGTTTGAATGAAATCCAACCTCGCCACCAATACTGTACTTTTTTAAGCCTCTGATGCTTGGTGTCATCAGTACTACTTGACACTGGAAAGTGCCAGAGAAGTAAAAATATGACCTACGAGTTTTATAATCCATCTGAGCAAAAGCTGTAAGTATTAAGAGCAAAAAAAAAAAAGTTAAAACCCTTTAAACAAAACAGATAGAATTGCTGAGGGAAGTCAGGATTCTCATGGACCAACTGGAAGACTAGGGAGGAATAGTTTGACGTCTGTTTCTGCAAGATAAGGAACACTACTGGTTTTCCAATACTAGTTTGGAAGACAAGTCCTGATAGGATTTATGGCTAGATACCAAATGGTTTATTTTTGCCTATGGCCTGAAAACAGTCTAAAGCAAGTCTGTATGCACGACAAACTAACCAAGTATTTTATTTAAACCATTTACTATATTTAAATGCTATGCTAGTGATGAAAGGAACAAAACCAATCGCCACTTTAAGAAATGAAGAGAGGGGAGAATGGCTATTACGAGACAGGACTAAGCGACAGAGACAAATACTAACACATAGAAGACGTACCTGTCTAACCCCTACTTACAAAATCACCTTCTCACCCAAGAGCCACGTAAGGCAGAGGGCTTCAGCCAGCACATGCTTCCCTAGCAGAATGTGGCACCCAATCCAGCAGACTCCCCATCCCTGCTTCATTTCCTTCTCCTCTGCCCAAATGTCTGACCAACTTCCCTGCCACAGGGAAGGGACGGGGCTGCCAGAAGCCATGCTAAGAGGTGAGAGCACCCGGGCTGATAGTTTCAGGAAGACTGAAAGTGCGTACGTCCCACAGAAGCTGAGGAACTCTAGCCTCCAGTTTCAGAAAGCAGGAACCAGTAGACACCCCAGATCTTACAAAGTCGACTGCCAGTCGGGTATGGGGCATGGGGGTATGGGGGAGCCTTTGCCCGCATCACTGTTCTCACTGATGCCAACAAACCAAACTCTCAAAAGACTCTCCGTGGCGGTGGCAGCCCAGGACCCTGCACCTCTTCTGTGCCCATCAGTTACACGGGCTGTGAAGGAAGAATATATGCTCTGCAGGCTCTTGTGAGGCTGACGGGACAGCTGGATGTCTAAGGGAGGATTTGAGGACCCTAAGTACCTTGCCTCGGTGATTTATACCAGAAATACCCAGGACGGAATATGTCCTAGAACAACCAGTTTGCGCTCTGCAATCTGGGGCAGGGATAAGAAGCCTGCTGACCATTCTAGAATAGTGTCTGGTCCCCGGGCTTGACCTCCTCAATGACATACTCACTATCATTATCTTCGTTTTGAAGATAAGGTAACTGAGGCTCGGAGAAGTGTAGTGGCTCAGCTGATATCATAATTAGGAGATAGCGAAGTGGGGCTCTAACTTAGGTCAGGCCCAGTCCATTTTCTTAACCACTGATCATAATATTCTCTATCTTCCTTCAACATCAATTTGATCAGGAAGCAAATGTCTTCTGGTACTGTGATCTTAAGATGGCAATTTGCCGCAGTGCACAGGGCACCCTGGCCTCTCAAGATGAGTCCTGCTACTCACAGCATCCTCCTCACACCCCCTGGGAGCAACTAAAGACCCACTGGGGTGGGAGGGAAGAGATTACTCACCCGTTTGTCCCATATCCGCACATCCCCATCATGACTGGTGGCAAGGCAATTAGCATTCTTTTTATTCCATTTGACCTGTGAGGCACCAGCTGCAAAGAAAAATCAGGGGAAGAAAGTGACTGCCCTCAACCCCCCTGGCACCAGAGTAGAGAACATCCAGGGCGGCTGGATAATGAGTTCCAGCTGAAGGCAAACAGAACCCTTCAGGTTTCTACGACTACACCAGCTCCACCGTTAAAGAGAAAATGAGGCCAAAAAATAAATGAATTAACACATCGGAACAGGATCAGAGTCAGCTAATTGAGGAAACAGTCTCACTTAGGAAAAAACTCTACAGGTTACCTCCACACAGAATCAGCAGGGAAACATGGTTTCTCACGAGCAGCAGCTCAACATGGCTCTGTAGTTGGTAACTGACTGCCCATCACACAGCCTGGCTCTTCATCATCCCCAGCGATCAGCCTGGTGCTCCCACTCAGAAGAGCCTCAGCTCAATGCCTGCTCCTTCCCACTGACTCACTCACTTTCTTACCTATTTAGGAGGGCAACCTTGGAGAAAGAAAGGTTCCTGAACCTCAGCTAAAGAATAAGCCCCCGTATTGCCCAATTCTGCCCTCAGAAGGATCTGTGCACCATTTCCCTCCTGGACTCTCTCCTCCCAACAGTGGCTGCACGTGGCCACCAGCCCTGTATTAAGTCAGGAAACAGAACGTGCCCCGCACTGTGAACTGAGTCCTTTCCCCACTCTGCCAACACAAAGAGGTAACAACAGTAACGAGGGAGCTATGTGAGAGGAGACATAGCACAAGATGCCAGAGGGGCTGAGACCTGTGGAAATCTAGGACATATCAGCACTTCTAGCTCTTAAAAATAACCAAGTTAATTAAGTTAAACCAGAACAACACAATGGCTCTCCTTCCCATCTCTTCTTGTCCTTGCTCAGGCCACACATATTTCTCCCTTTGGGTGGGTGTTTATTACTGGGGCCATCGTCGTGGACCCAGGGCTATGGAAGGCAACCCGATCCAAGAAGTGTAGAGTGGGACTGACACAGCAAGGACTCAGAATCTAACAGGAAATGGAGTTAAGACCCAGAAGTTACCGTTGCTTGGTTCTGGTGAGGGTATTTGTTTGTTTGTTGTGTTTTTTTGCTTGAGACACAGGGCATCTTAAGTCACCTAGGAATGAATGGTGGAGACCCCTAAAGGAGGAAGCTAGTGTAGGAGACCCAGTTTGTTTGCAAGAAAGGGTATCAGCTAGAGGAGAAAGGGAGTAGGAAGAGCCTGCCCCAGTTCCTCAAGACAGGTTACTCAAAGACTTCCAAAAGAAACATACTTTCCCCAGTGTGGGGTCCATCAGACCATGAAGCCTTCCAAAGGGAAGGAAACCCCCTAATTCAATCTACTAGGATCGTGATAACAGAGTCAAACAGAGTTCCCAGACCTTTGGTGTTCTCAGACAGAGAATACTCTGAAGTACACACAGGCTCTTACTTCTTCCTACCCCAAAGGCAGAAACAACGCCATAAACAACTGGCCAAGGTTGCACCTTCAGGGAATGGTAGATCAAGCAGCTTACCAAATCCACAGCCTCTCACTTGCCTCTTTTCTCCCAGGGCAGCTGTGCTACTGCTGAGAAATCTCACTGAGGTGCAAAAAAGAAGTCTCCCACCTCTCTTCTTTAGAGGACTTACAACAGAAGAGAAAGTAATCAGAGCAAGTGGGCTGAAAAAAAGAACTGTCTTTCTTTTTATAGCTCCTCTACGACCAGCCTAACTTAGAAACCTCTAAGTAGAAGCAACAGAATCCCAGGGAGGTAACTGAGGCATTTACAGACCATTTGTATTTCATTCAGTTGGATGTCCTCTGCAACCATGTCTGTGGGCCATCATGTGTCTCAGGTCATAAGTGCCTAAAAGCCAAGGTGGCGGGAGTAAGGCAGGAGGTGAGGGGCAGAGCAACAGATTTATTTAAACACTTAGCCCAGAGGCACAGATGCTTGATCCCCACCGCCATTTAACAAACATTTACAGAGCATCTCCCCGGGTCAGACAGGTGGTCTGACCTTGGTCTACAGCACTGAACAAAACAGACATGGTCCCTAACTGCCCAGAACAGATAATCCACCTGCTTAATACAGTCGTGATGCTCAATGTCTTTAAATGATGAGGCATGGAGATGTGAGAGAAAAAAGAAGAATCATGTAATCATTTTGGAGCAAACACCAAATGTGAATTCAAATGTACCAAAAACATACAAAGGAGCAGGATTTAAGAGACAGACAATGGACATTTTTAACAAGGATGCCAAAATACAATACAGACGGGCACCTGTGTGGCTCAGTCGGTTAAGCCACCAACTCTTGATTTCAGCTCAGGTCATGATCTCGGGATCGTGAGATCGAACCCAGAGTTGGGTGTGCTCAGTGCAGTCTGCTTGGATTCTCTCCCTCTTCCCCTGCTTCCCCCCACTCTTTCTCTCTCTCTCTCTCTTTCCAAAAATAAATAAATAAATCTTCAAAACACAATACTGATGACTGGGCTTCATCACTGTAAGATATACCAGTTCTATGTCCAAATTTTACTCTCCATAAATATCCCATAACAGCCCCAAAGCAGAATTCTAAAAACAGTCAATTCCAACTGAGCAATGAAAACAGGGGGACCAGAAAGTAATTTCAAAGTTTCAGCACATCCACATTAAATGACAACATGGGGACACAATCGGCATAATCTAGATTATGGAGAAACCACAGGACAAACAACCTGGTTTCTTCAATAAATAAACCTCAGGAAAAGAAAAATAAACCAAAAAAGGAGAGGGAGAAGAAACCTACCAATTGTAAAAGATGAGAAATATATCAACCACTTATAAGTATGTTTTTTATTTGGATTTTGACTTAAATAATTTGTAAAACAACAACAACTGAGATTAGGGAAATTTGAATATCGCTTAAATATTTGGTATTAAAGACCCACTGTTAACATTTTTAGGTCCGTTTATGGTATCGTGATCATATTTTCTTACAGGATTCTTCTCTTGTGTAAGTATCACTTACTGAAATATTTGTTGAGGAAATGATATGACACCCAGGACATGCTTCAAAATAATTCCTTTTTGTTTTTTTAAGTAGGCTTCATGCCCAACGTGAGGCTTGAACTCACGACCCTGAGATCAAGACCTGAGCTGAGATCAAAAGTCAGATGCTTAACCGACTGAGCCACCCAGGCACCCCTTCAAAATCATTCCAAAAGAGATGGGAGTTGGGAGTGGGAAGAGGTAAAGATGAAATAAATAAAACTGGCTGGACAGTGACAGTTGTTTGAAGCTCGATCGTGAACATAAAGCAATTTCATCTTCTTCTACTTTCATACACGTTTGAAATTTTCCACAATAAAAAGTTTAAAAACAAACCATTTTGGCTCCTGTCCTTGAATCCTAAAATAAGTTCCTGACCATGCTTAGCACTCCTGACTCTAACTTCTGAGACCTAAAATCCCACCCAGCTGAACCGGGGACTGGGGCAGGGGCAGTCCCCGTGAGAGAAGGGATGGAAGGAAGGAACTGAGCCGAGGCGGGGAACAAATACTCACCTACAGCAGACAGCGCAACTGTGGGCTTCCTTGTGTCTCTGGAATAGAAAAGTCAGAGATCAAATGCCCGATCCGTAGGCCACCATCCACCTGGGACTTTCTACCCTCTGCACACAGTTCTCCACTCCCCTTTCAGTGGGTGCTTAGAGTTCAGAGGGAACGTGAGGGCCTTAAAAACAAGGGTAAAGAGAGGCCTATCTCCCTTCAGGGACAAACCTCCTCAGCTCCTTCAAATGAGACTGAGGCTGAATTTCAAATCACACAGTTGGAGCCACAGAAAGCAAACTACATGATTCGGCATGGCCTGCATGACCCTGATGCAGGGGTGGAAGAAGCCAAAAGAATCCCTTCCTGGTGCCATTTCTCCTGGTGGCAACGAAGTGACCGTCATGGAGGCTTAACTCTGCAAGGACCTTCCCAGCAGCACTTCAGAGCTGAAGTAAAAAGCTACCCTCACATTCGCAGTCGCTAGGAGGTGGAAGCAGCCCAAGGGTCCATCGACAGATGAATGGATAAACAGAATGTGGTCTATACATATAAGGGAGTATTATTCAGCCTGGAGATGGAAGGAAATCCTGTCGCATATGGTACAACATGGATGGACCTTGAGGACATTACGTTAAGTGAGATAAGTCGGTCACAAAAAGACAAATATTGCATGATTTCCCTTCCACTTGTATGAAGTATCTCAAGTAGTCAAATCCACAGAAACAGAAAGTGGGAAGGTGCATAATGAGTAGTTTTAGCTTTGTAAGATGAGAAAGTTCTGGGGATCTGTCGGGCAACAAGGTGAATATATTTTACTGAACTGTACACTTAAAGATGGTGAAGATGGGGGCGCTGAGGGGCTCCATCAGTTGAGCGACCGACTCTTGATTTCGGCTCAGGTCACGATCTCAGGGTCATGATACAGAACCCTGCGTTGGGCTCTGAGCTGGGTGTGGAGCCTGCTTGAGATTTTCTCTCTCTCTCCCTTTTCCCTCTCCCCCTGCTCTCTAAATAAGTAAATAAATAAAATCTTTTTAAAAAAATGGTGAAGATGGTAAATTTTATGTTTTGGGTTTTTTTGACCACAATTAAAAACAAAAACAAAACCCTACTGCTGGATAGAACGGAAGACTCTCAGAGAGAGAGACTCCTGGGTTCACTACAAGGCCGGAGGGCAACTTCTCCACGAAATGGTAACGTGACAGAACTGGGGATCCACGCAGAGCTAGGAGGACCGGATGGCCAATCTGCGGCTCACGCTTACTATCCAGAAAACCTGAAAAGGAATCATCTGTTCAGTGTCCCTTAATCCTTAAATTATGAAAACAATTATTTCACATCAATGAGGAATACTCTAACCTAGCCTCGTAGCTCCCTGAAGTTTTGTGGGGTTTTTTTTTGTTGTTGTTTGTTTTAAAGATTTTATTTATTTATTTGTCAGAGAGAGAGAGAACACAAGCAGGGGGAGCAGCAGGCAGAGGGAGAAGCGGCAGACTCTTAACCAACTGAGCCACCCAGTCGTCCCCCTGGGGTTTTGCTTATTTAAGAGCAGCCCCGTTCCATTTCCCCCAGATTTTGTGCCCCTTCCCAGCTCGGCGCTGCCGTGAGACGAATCACCAACGAAGCATTAACGCGAGCGGGATGCAGGTGAAGTCAGCTGCGCACACCCTGACTCGCGGTCTCCCTTTCCCTGGTCTGCCCACCTCTGAGTAAATCATCCCAGAGCCACTGCCATTTGGGAGCAGAGCAGTCTGCTGAGGGGAGGGGGTCCCATCTGGGGGACTCTACGGACTATACCCCCTGGTTAGTCCCCTCAAATTGTTACGGCAAAGGGAACTTTGCTCTACGAAGGGAGAAGGGAACAGATGTTCATTAAGAACTTACGACAGGGGGCGCCTGGGTGGCTCAGTCGTTAAGCGTCTGCCTTCGGCTCAGGTCATGATCCCGGGGTCCTGGGATCGAGCCCCGCATCGGGCTCCCTG